ATGAACTCACCTGAATGCGAGTAAACTGGAAGATAAGATAGATATAGGATGCTTGAATTCACAAATGAAGTTCTGAAGCACAGTTGGATCCTATAAAGCATATATTCACATATGTGTGTATTCAATCAGTGGTTATAACTACTAATAAGTATAGGAAACCACCTAAGATTGAAGGAAACACCCTAAATGAAGTGTTAAGCTCACAAATGGAAGCTTGAAAGGGGTTCACGACCACCCAAGGATGGGTTTGCGGCCTTAAAGAGTTCACGGCCTCATGAGGTGTTCACGGCCCTTATGATCCTATGAAGGGTTCACGACCCTTATGATCCTATGAAGGGTTCACGACCCTTATGAAGGGTTCACGACCGTGATCCCTTCAAGCTCATGAAGATGATGATGAAACTTGACAAATCAAGGCTAGAATTAAGCAGTCCTTCATGTATGACAAGATTAAGGATGAAACACTTACGTTTTTGAAGCTTTAGAGTGTTCACGGTTGAAGCTTTTTGAGAGAGAATGGATGTGTTCACAGTTGGGAGGAGGAGAAAAGAGTAGAAAATGAGGGCACTCCAATATATATAGGAGGTGGTTCACGACCGTTAACCTAGTTTGCGGCCGTGAACACCTAGTGAGTGATTTTCCGGATCGAATTTATCCTCCCGATATCAAGCTAACTCATCCTAGCATCCATTCATACATTACACTAGGCTTCGAAACTCTCAAACAGACCCTTAACAGTGCTAAAAGATAGCAGAAGCTAGTCTGACTTTGATTGAATTGTATGGCTATACAAGATAGAAATTTCGGGTTGTCACAATATCTAAACTTAACCTCTCATATCCTTTAATTTTAGCAGTCAGTTTTTTATTTACCCTATTAAAACCATCCATCCTGATCGTCGGTGATCTAAATCGTCTTTTAGAATAATTAAGTTTCACCAATGCAGTAATATGTTCATTGGGTTCACTACAGGAGATAACCATGGAAAAGATTTGAATTCAAGGCTGAATCTAGGACAATTTCTTAGGGATTTGAATTCAAGGTTCTTGATGTGTGTATTCAATTCACAAATTTACGATTTCAATCATTTGTCAAGTCTCATAGAGGATTAAGGTAATTTAATTTTCCAATTTGTTTTATCACACATCCCTGCATCAGGTCCATGATTTTTTAAAACTTAGTTATGCAAATCGTGAATGGGGTAGTGGAATTAGCATCTTTTTGAACTGTAATATTACAAGTCTTACTACTGTATTGATTTTGTATTTAACTGCTTAGGGTTAAAATTAAGTTGTTTGGGTTGTTGAAAGATACATCTTTAATCATTTTGTATTAAATATATAACATATTAACACTAATTATAAAAACAATAAGCTATGAATTTATTTAAAAGTAGTGGTGGATTTGAAATGTTTTTCTAATTCACGTCATGGTGGAGAATTAAAATAATATATAACATATTAACACTAATTATAAAAACAATCCAACTATCGCATGTATTACTCTTCTTTGATGATATATGTAATATTTTATTTGACATAATGTTTTAAAAATCTATTAGCAATCATCTACATAAACATCTTCACAATAATTCTTAATGTAATTTATTTTAATGATGATGCTCTTGGAGTTATTCTTCTATTGATTTAAAATGTTCAAAAGTTCCGGTTGATGTTATTATATTTGCATACATCGAGTAGATTATTTATTTTAATTTGCAGTTTCTGTGGATGTTATTATATTTGCATACATCGAGGAGATTATTTATTTTAACTAGATAGGAAACCCCGCTTCGCGGGGGTTGGATTCTCCACTAATGTCAAAGAAAACTGACAGGATCCTCAATATATCGTTGGTGATTTGATGACCATTGCTGATATTGGTATCGAAATATAAGTATGTTGTTATTATGGGTAATAAATATAGTTACAAAAAATTAAATTTGAATCAATTGTATAAGAATTAAAAGTCTAATCCTAAGTTACAAAAGCAATAATACAATCAGTGATCCTGAAATGACAAATTTACCACTATTTCCCTTCCTGCCATCATCACCTCCCATCCTAGTTACAGAAAACCCTTCGTATCCTGAAATGATCAATTTACCCCTATTTCCCTTTCTGCCATCATCACCTCCCATCCTAGTTACTGAAATGACCAACTTCTCTCTGCAACTCCATGTTAAAGTAAGACAACCATCTGCCCATAGTACCTGTCAAAAAAGTTTAACACCTTATCATAAAAAAAAAAAAAAAAAAAAAAAAAACTGAAGTACGTTGCCCATATCAATAAACCAAAATACGTTTATTTCATTCGACTTTGTAAAATGGTTTTCGCTTCTCAGAAAACGCATTCAACCCTTCTAACCTATCATCTGTGACCAATATCACTTCGTAGCATTCTTCTTCCAATTCCAAACCAGACCCGATCTCCATTTCTGAACCATGGCTAATCACTCTTTTAGTCATCCGTATAGCCACAGGACCCTAATAACATCATCTTACATCTTACATCATAATATTATATTATAATAAAAAAACGTTTCATATAATACTAATAAACGGACCTTTTGATTTATATCACATGCAATTTCAAGCGCCTTTGAGTAAGCATCACCCGCAGGAGCACAGTAATTAATGAGACCTACAAGAAATTATTCTATGGTTAGTACTTTATTTTTTCTACCCATAATAGCATTGTACTTATATTTATTTGGTTATCAATAGGCATTTTAATTTCTATGTTACATATTTTTAATATTGGTATATAAATATAAAAATAAAATACAAAATGACAATGCTTCTTTGGGTGTGATCTTTCGGCCTGTGAAAATAAGTTATTTGGCTAGTGAGCTTCCAATTAAGCTAGGAAGCCTCTGTCGCCGGAAATCAGAAGCTGGCGGCGAGGAAAATGGAGAATCAGAATAGAGAGAGAAGTAGATTAATAGGTAGGTTTGGAGATGCTTCCATGGAAGACGGCTGGAGTAGATGCGAACATGTAGTGGGTGGGAAGAGGATTGACGCTATGGCAAAGGCGAGGCGGTGGATCGGTGATTAAAGGTGGGAATTCCAAAGTGACAGCGAGCTGGAGTCGTGATGTTGTGGTGGAGTAATTTGATTGGGTAAAAAAGCGGTGAAGCAAAACAGAAAGAACACATTCCCACGATCAATAATCATAAAGACATAAAATGCCCCATTGGAAAGAACAGCTACAAAAGAGGTGGAATTGAAGGAAGGTATATAAAAAAGGGTCCAGTTTTGCTATCTTGTTAGGAACTTTACTGTTCCTAACTTGAGACAAAAATCTACCCTATTATAGCAGTGCCAACTAAATACAAAGAAAGTGTAAAAAAAGTTAAAAGTACAATGCTATAATAAATATAATGTGCAAAGATGGTTACTCAAAGAAAAAAAATCCTGTAAAAAAAGAGAAATTTCATCTATGTTTTCTAGACATGATACCTATCCAGCAAGAACCCTTTGTTGCAGCATTGAGAGGTCCATATCCAAATGTGAATAGGATAAATTGGTAATTTGTCACCTCTACGACACTTCCCATAACTTGAAGTAGCAAATGAGGTTTTGTCATAAACCTCGCGCTGCAAAAAGTAAAGTATCATGATAAAAAATAGAAGATGTAATTAAAAAAAGTGGTGAAAGTTAGAATAATATAAAAATATGTTTAATCTTAACCTGTGATAATTGTTTAATCTTACAACAGTAAAGGAGAGATAGGCCTATTGTGCCAAAAGTAGGGAAAGGCCTATTGTGCCAGCCGACTTGTGTTGGATCCTAGATACATGAAGAGACAAATGGTTTACCATAGTCAACAATAAATTGAAAAAAGAGCATAAATTGCGAATGATAACGCCAAAAAATTTAATTCTTGTTTTAAAATATTAGGATAGTATATGCCTTATACATATCTTACAAGTTTTTTTTTATCAACATTAACAGAAAATATGGAGGATTTCAGATTTTACCTTAGTTGGTTGAAGGTAATCTGAAAAAAAAGACACGTAAACAACCGAAAATAAAATAACAATAAGTTACATTATCATTAATATTGTAAAAAGTAAAAACGTACCTATAAGGGACTACATAAGGAGCTGTTATGAGACACTCGACATTAAAAACCTCCGCAAGGCTCCATTGATCCTTCTGTGAGTAAACCATCCCCTAACAAAGATCTCAGACGATTATGCTTCTTAAATACTTGAATCTTTAGAGAAACCATTGGCTGACTCGTGTTACTGAAGCTCCTCTTGCAGTTCATGGGTACACTAACAATAAAACCATTGTTCACAACCACCATAATCTGCAAAATCAACAATTGTAACTGTCCCGCAGCCTTGCATCCACAACAACCAAATAGTTGATTATGAAATTAAATCCTTTGTGATATTTAAATATTATAACCAACGAAATTGGATTTTTCTAAAATGTATGAAGGTTTGATAGTACTCCTACAACCATTTAGGAAACTACATAAGAACAACTCAGTGATTTGTGTATGTATGGTCCTGTTATGGGGCAATAAAAGCACTATTCCTAACACAATAAAAATGGCTCACCTCAAGTTCATTGAGCTCTCAACCAAACGTACGAACAACCTGCATATATTCAAGAAAATAAATGAAGCACATATGTGATGAGTCGAGTCAAGAACTACAGTAATCACCTTGTAAATACGAGCGAGTAGAAAGAATATGATTAGTTGAGAACTCTCCTTGCTAATAATGATCATCTTCCAGAATTTTGTCAACCTGAAGAGACTCTGGCACCTCTGCATTGTTTTTGTCAAAATCGTTAGCAAAGAAAACTAAAACAATTTTTTTTTAAAAAAAATCACTTAAGTTGGTGGGTCCAGTTACTGTCGCCATGAAATCAAATGGTCATACAGAAGGTTATGAGTCACAAAAAAGTCCACCACTTGAGTTCTAAAAAAAGAAAAAAAACTAAACAAAAACAGATATAAAACCCTTGCCTTGATTACATTTACATTATCCTCATCTCGTATGACGAATTCCAACTCTATCTTCTGCTTTCATCGCATGGCATATCAGTGACCAAGATGAATTAACTGACGAAGCTTCATGCCATATCAGTGACCAAGATGAATTAACTGTCATATCTTCTGAATTTCTCTGGAGTTTGTTGGAAATCTTGGTGGTGGTTGATAGTATGAAACCCAAGTGTAACCTTACTCCTATCAATAAATAATTTCGCTTATTTTCTTCCACCCACACTTCCTAATAACGTCTCTTAAAAATTATGACGATGAGAAGGAGAAGAAATTGACCAAATTAACCATGTGCATCTTATTTGGGGCATTCCATCGAACACATAGGGTGCCTTGCCTTCGTCCTTTAAACAAAACAATTATAATTACAATCAAAAACTTAACGAAATAGTTTAAAAAAGCTGAAAAACATAATCAAACAAAGAATCAAAACAACAATCAAAGCTGGACGACGTGACCACGACCTCGATTCTGGCCACTACCACTGGTAGCCAATGTCGTCGCACCACCACCACCACCAGCGCCGGCGTGCGTTGTTTATGCTTCCTCTTCACCGTCGATCTCCTAAAGGGGGAAAAATAAGGCATCGATTGGGTTTAGGAGTTTTCCTGGTGGCCACTTTTGTTCTTCTTCATCAACTCCTCCAGTACAAAATCAAAACCAATCCAATAAAAATACACAAATAAACCGTTAAATACACTTACCATAATCCGGTGGTGATTGGGTTCGATTTCATGGACGATGGCTGGTTCTTGATTAATGATCATCGGTTTAAGAATAACAGTGAGTGTGAAGCGAGAGAGATGTTCAAATCCAGCGATAGAGATACGGAGAGGATGGAGGCTGAAACCACAGAATTCGAGTATTTTTGGGAGAAAACGTCAAAAATCCTAAATCATTGTGATGGTTGAGTCGCCGGTAACAGAAGAGAGAACGAAGAGGAGTACGACTTTTGTCGAAAAACCGATGATGACGGTGGTTGAGAGGTGGAATCGATCCCCTCTATTTCTGGAACTCATATACGATGGCGATGAGGCGGCATAGAGGAATGATTGGAGGAAAAGAGCCGCGAGCCTTCGAGGAGGACACATGGAGAAAGTGTTGTAGATGAGTAAGCCAGAAAGAAATATCTGAATAACACGTGGACTGACCACCAACATAAGAAAACCCCCAAATTGAATCTAAGATCCGGAAAGAACTAAATATGCACATGCCAGTTGAAAATGTATAATAATAGAGGGACCAAAATGTATTTTGCCAAAAGAAGTTAGAAAATTAATATGATAAAAATAAATAAGGGACCATTTTTGACAACTGAAACTTTACTGTTCTAAGGAGAGACATTTTATATATATATATATATATATATATATATATAT